CGTCGGATGTTGGACTTTTTCTTCATACATCGGGCACCACGAGCCGACCAAAAGGTGTTCCTCTGACCCAGCTAAATTTGGCATCTTCAGTGAATAATATCAAATCGGTTTATAAACTCAGTGATTCGGATTCAACGGTGATCGTGTTGCCGTTATTTCACGTTCACGGGTTAATTGCCGGATTACTGAGTTCACTGGGAGCCGGAGCATCCGTAACACTTCCTTCCGCTGGGAGATTTTCTGCTTCAACTTTCTGGCCAGATATGAAAAAATACAACGCCACGTGGTACACGGCTGTACCTACAATTCACCAGATTCTTTTGGATTACCACCTCAGCAAACCCGAATCCAATTACCCGAAGCTCCGGCTCATTCGGAGTTGCAGTGCAGCACTAGCTCCATCAGTGATGGCCCGGTTAGAGGAAGCATTCGGGGCTCCTGTTTTGGAGGCGTATGCGATGACAGAGGCGACCCATTTGATGGCTTCGAACCCGTTACCCGAAAATGGCCCGCATATACCCGGGTCGGTTGGGAAACCCGTGGGTCAAGAGATGGCTATATTGGATGAGAATGGTGTGGTACAAGGTGCTAATGCTAAGGGAGAGGTTTGCATTAGAGGTCCAAATGTAACAAAAGGGTATAAGAATAATCCTGAGGCTAATAAATCAGCTTTCCAGTTTGGTTGGTTTCACACTGGTGATGTGGGGTATTTGGACTCTGATGGATATTTGCATTTGGTTGGCAGAATTAAGGAGTTAATCAACCGTGGAGGTAACTTGCTCCTACACTTTCATACTCCTCCTTTATACTTTACGTGAACATATTTGATTTAAGCGAATATATTTGACTTAATATAATGTTCTTTGTTTGATTATAGAAAGTAAGAATTTTGAAATTTTTGGTCTTAGATATTCATGATATTTGGGTGATTATAAAAATCATTAGAAGTTTAATGTAACATGATTTAAAGAAAAAAATCATTTACAACAACAAACCTAGTAGTTTCCCACGAGTGGGGTTTGAGAAGGGTAAGATGTGCAGTCTTACCCCTACTCCTGGAAGGGACAGAGAGGTTGTTTCCGTTAGACCATCGGTTAGAGAACGAAAGAAAAAAAAGTCATTTAATTTTAATAAATTAGAATAAATGATATCAGGGAATGGAGAAAGTACTTAATTATTATGGAACTGTTCCTTATTCCTCACTGGAAGCATGACAAATCACATGAAAAAGTAGGTTTGCGGAGAAATTTGGCTCAACAATTGTACTTTTGCTAATTGGTGCTAGTTAAGGGTGGGAACACGCTTTTGTAGGATGATGTAATTAGGACTGTAAATATGACATATCTTTACTCTAATGCCAAGTTGGTGGTCCCAGTATGAGAAAATTAGATCAAACATGGCTTGCACCGCCCTAGATATTTTGTTGTTAAGATGTAAGTTTTAGTTGGTAGAACTTTTGATCCGTTGCTATTGCCCTAAGTTTGGCCACATTTAGGTTCATGATATTGACTTCTACTCTCCTTTTTTTCAAAGCATATCCGAGGTTATTCCGACGGCCATGATCTGCTAGACTTTAAGGCCTTCTTGATGTGACAATTCAAAATTCAAATTTATAAAATGGTAAAAAGCAGAAGCCGTGTTAACATAACTATTTCCTAATCTTCTGAGTGATTTTGTTTCTAGCATATGACTGCATAATTTCCAATTTAATAATCTTTAGGGTCCAGTAGGAGGCGGATTTTAATGTCGTTGAAGACACCCATAATCTTTTTATTCTAAGATTGCTTGTCATGTCATAATCGATAGTCGAGTTTATGAAAATAGTAACATCTGGTGAATATTATGAGGGTTGAAATAACTCTGCTAATTAGATAAATGTATTAAGATATTTGGAGCAATTGATGCAATATTACTCGTTAATAATCGTTTTCCCTACTTATAATCTTAGGGGAGAAAATATCACCTATTGAAGTGGATGCAGTACTGGTTTCTCATGCGGAAATTGCTCAGGCAGTTGCTTTTGGCGTTCCTGACGACAAGTATGGTGAAGAGGTAAGAAATAAACTCCAATATTTGTTGAATTGGTCCGCTTCCATTAATGAAAAATGGAGATCTCCATTTGTTTGTTTGTTTCAATAGCATCGGTTGCATGTGAGGTTGATATGGACATGTTACATGTATATATTAATTAGTTAGACGTCTATTTTTTTGTTTAATTTGCATGTATCTTATTCCACGTGAACTCTTTTTTCCGTTTTGGTGCCGCTGTGTAGAGAGCTTGCTATTAAATTGCATTTTGGTAACCACATAAGCTAGCTCTATTAGCAACGACCCTTCCAAATGCTTCTATTACGAACCAGTTACTATTTTGAAGGCAATTTAGATGCTTTGTACGGTCTCTTAAGCCTTAATAGCAATGGCTCATGTAGAACATAAACACTGTGGATTTTGAGTTAAAGAGGATTGGTCTCCAAATATACATCTAACCAGTGGCGGAACTAGAAATTCATACAAGGGATTAAAAAATAAATCTAGGATGTCACCCTTGGAATTTGAACCTATGACCTAAGTCAATTTTGAACCCTTTTTACAACTATACTTGAAATTTTTCTTCATGACAACGAGATTCACCAGCTCACACGTAAACAAAAAAATCAATTTTACTCCATTTGCACAGTATAATTCTCGGGTGAAGGGATTCAGTTAACCCCCTTCAAACTAGGTAGTTCTGCCACTGCATCTAACTGTTTTTGTATATATTTTTCACACATATATATCCAAGGTCGGCCAGATTTAGGCCCCGAAATTTTGGGGGTCCCAATTTTTTTTTTCCCAATTCTTATTTGATGTCCGATATTTAATTTGGGACATTGATTAATTCAAATGCGTACCGTGTAAAATCTATTAAAGTGGGAATTGTTCCTTATAAGGGATTTTTTACGTTCCAAATACTGAAACCGGATACTTCCGATTAAAAAAGGAGATATGCTATCCATTCCACCACAACTCTTCTCGTGAGGCCCAAATTTTTTGAATAAAAGATTAAGTATTTCAAAGTTGAAAAGTAAAATATTTTATATAAAAAAGGATTACATTAATCATTAGAAAATATGTAACACACTTTTAAACTCTATTTTTTCCTAGGTTTTCATCATTGCAACAAGTATATTGAAACATCAAAAAATTCTTTTAATACAAAGTTATCAACTTCTTTGAATCAATTTCTATTACTTAAGATCATACTGCACATGAGAGATTAAATGATTTATGCGAAAAATTTTAAGTAATTTTATTCTTAATAAGCTAGAAAAATCTACTTCAACTAAAAATATATACGATTTTTTTAAAAGGGCCTCGTATTAAAGTTTGGCTTTATGCCACCAAACTTATTGAGCCGTCCCTGTATATATCAACCCCAAAGTACTGGGATGGACCTAGGAACCCATGGTCAGAGCGCGATGTTTATGGTTTCATAGAGTTCACATATTCTGATTGTATGCTGACTAAATCAAATATTTTCATGTTTGACAGATAAACTGTGCAGTTATTCCAAGAGAAGGGTCAAACATTGATGAGGCAGAGGTGCTGAGATTTTGTAAGAAGAATCTCGCAGCTTTTAAGGTCCCTAAGAAGGTTTTCATGACTGACTCTCTACCAAAGACTGCAACAGGAAAAATTCAACGACGACTTGTTGCAGAGCACTTCCTAGCACAGATTTCAACTGCTAAAGTCCCCAAGTTCGGAGCTTAGAAAAATTGTTGCGTACTGATGTTCCTTCTCCTATAGTAACAATAAAAGTATGATATTCGCTATTAGTAACGTAAATACTTGGTCAAGAAACGAGAATCAATGCCTCTGATGTTTTCAGTAATGGCGCAAGGTTATCATCCTTGAGTCTTAACAGGGGATATATTGGCTAGATTTTTTGGTTTTTGTATTAGAGATTATTCTTAGTCTATAGTGTTATGTAAAATAAGTAGGTGATTATCAAGTATTGCAATGTTCTTTTATTTATATCAACCAATACCTTTGACAATGAGTATCAACGCATAGATTCGAGCTACTTGTTTTTGCCCATTTCTCTGTTTTTGTTGCTCCAGATTTTTGGGGTAGGGCGTGGTTCACAAGTTCATGTTTCTAATTTTGTGTTAGTATATGTTATATACTCCGCAAACCTGTCATCAATTTCTTAACAACCATTTGCTTATTAACAGCAGGAGTTACTGGGGGAGATCTTACTGCAAATCTGTTATATTTCTCATAAAATCAAGTGGAGGAATTGATAAGAAACGAATCATATCTACCAAGTGAATACTTCACAATCGATGGGTGAGAATTGGTGTTTATGATTCTGTCTTTTGGCTTAGGTTCCGCCAAATATTTGGTTCTCTCGCTCCAAGCTACTATGGTTCAGTTCTCAAAGAATATGGGAAAACAAGCAAAATCCATTCAGACGATTAACACGATCAACCACATAAAGCACGACATCTCAACTCATACTAGTGAAATTTCGCAATAAATTTGATCTATTATAATGGGAAGATTCTGACATATATATACAGGAAAAAATATTTTTTTTTTACACTAGCCGTGTATTTTAACATGTTGTAATGTATTATTTGTCTTTTCTAGGTTTCCAATCCTATTTACCGTTGGCAGAAATTTGTATATCTTTTAGTTAGAGAGCAATAACTGTCCAACTAGAACAGTCATACAAAGCCATGTTATCCAGACCCTAAACAAGAAAACAGGAATTGTTAATGCACACTAATGAAATCACATAAGTAATCTATCTCATCGAGTATAACTATAGAAAATCAACAACTTGGCTGCGTAAAGCAATACATAGTCCTAGTTGGGCCAACGTTCAACGCAAATTGCAGGCAGGACTTGTCAATTATCTTAATCCCAACAAAACATAGTGCAGTCACCAGACTTTGTACAGGTAAGGTTTCATATTTCAAGCCGCAAAATCAACAAATCTATTTCAAGCCGCAAAATCAACAAATCTAAACTGACACGTTGAGAGACACTATAATTGTTTTTGAAATAAGCCACGCTTCCCTTTTCACAAAATATTTGTACCAATAGAATTCAAAGAGCTAGATTTCAGTAATAGGTATGTGAAGCAATACCAACTATAACTACAAGGCACTGAGGAACTACGCCACCACGATGTCGCATGCAAAAAAAAAAATCCAAACCCTAAACAAGATTTAAAAAATGAACAGTAGCCCTACTGCATTACAGCACTCAAAATTTCTCCACAAGTTGAACTAGTTAAGCTTCTTGACCTTCTTCCTCGCCATCTTCATAGTCATACTCTTCCTCTTCAGCTGTCGCATCTTGATATTGTTGGTACTCAGAAACTAAATCATTCATGTTGCTTTCAGCCTCTGTAAACTCCATCTCATCCATACCTTCTCCAGTGTACCAATGCAGGAAAGCTTTTCTTCGAAACATTGCTGTAAACTGCTCGCTGACCCTACGGAACATCTCCTGAATTGAGGTGGAATTGCCAATGAAAGTTGAGGCCATCTTCAGTCCAGTTGGAGGGATGTCACAGACAGTAGACTTCACATTGTTAGGAATCCACTCAACAAAGTAAGAAGAGTTCTTGTTCTGTACATTAATCATTTGCTCATCAACTTCCTTGGTGCTCATTTTCCCCCGGAACATTGCTGAAGCAGTCAGATAACGACCGTGACGAGGATCAGCGGCACACATCATGTTCTTTGAATCCCACATCTGCTGAGTGAGCTCGGGAACAGTCAGGTTTCTGTATTGTTGTGACCCACGAGAAGTGAGCGGAGCAAATCCAACCATGAAAAAATGCAATCGAGGGAATGGGATGAGGTTAACAGCAAGCTTGCGGAGATCAGAATTGAGCTGACCAGGGAATCGAAGGCAGCAAGTTACACCACTCATGGTGGCAGAAATCAAATGATTAAGGTCTCCAACTGAGGCAAACATCATGAGTCAGTACATTAATCTACAAATAGCCACATAATACAATCATATAACAATGGCAGATTCAACAAAATCTCAAGACCCAGATCGAAAGAAACTCTGAATATGAACCACGAAAGACAACAGAAAAGAACTAATATGCAGTGTTCATCTTTATATAACCATATGCAATGAAATATTAGTTCGATTAAGTTGTGCATATCTTCCACAAATGCTGAGCAGTTGAATGAGTTCAGCAGTTAAATTGACATAGTTTCTTTCACAAACTTCTTTTTTGGTACATAACCTTTCCAACTCATAAGTGTCGAATCACATAACGACAGATCCAGATAAACAACATTCTGTAATCCAGATAATTCTCTAATAAACTCTAGTGCTGGTTTATCCATACACTCATCAAGCTATAACCAAATATCAGACCCCAACCACTTCATTTTACCCTAAGTCTCCAACCTTCTTAACTAAGATAACCCGCCCATCATAGTCTCTTCCACCCCCAGACTTTTCCTCTGATTCACCTTATATAATTAAAAAGATCAGAAAAATGAAGCAACATCTTAATCACAACCAAACATATCAACCGATAACTACTCCACATCTAACATACTGATGAATGAAAGCTTAAGAACAAATAGGATATACCAGACATAAACAAACAATAAACAAGACAATTATGCCCTCATTCCATGCGGTCATTTTAAATGTAAACAGTAGATCACTTGGCACTAAAGGTAGTGCATGAAATAAAACAACCAAAACAACACAACCGTAAAGCTACATCAGATAAAATATTGCTGATCAAAGAAGACAACTTACAGCTCGGGGTAGTAAGTTTGAGAGTTCGGAAGCAAATGTCATAAAGAGCTTCATTGTCCAAGACCATACACTCATCTGCATTCTCAACAAGCTGGTGAACAGAGAGAGTAGCATTATAGGGCTCAACAACGGTATCTGAAACTTTCGGGGAAGGGAACACAGAGAAAGTAAGCATCATTCTGTCCGGGTACTCCTCCCTGATCTTAGAAATAAGTAGAGTTCCCATTCCTGATCCAGTTCCACCTCCCAAAGAGTGACAAACCTGAAAACCTGAAATTGAAAACAGAATCCACATTCATAGGCTTTACAAGGCAGATAATTTACTTGGACGCCATTCCATTTATTGCAAATGATCAGTAAATTATAACAACCTCAAACTTCACTTCTCTAAGAGGCCTAACATGCATTCAAGCAGGGAGTGGAGAATATATCAATTTCTAAACTTCTATATTTTAAAGGATTTAAGGTATATACAATGATAGTGTAAATATTTGTTTATACACAAACAGTTTCAACCTGATTTAACATGATAGCAGGTTAGCTACCATTTTACTAAGGCCCCGTTTGGCCATACATTTTGGCACCGTTTTTTCAAATCGTTTTTGAAAACATTGTTTGTTCATAGATTAATGATCTATTTTTGAAAAATTTCTGAAATTATTTTTCAAGTTCCCAAAATCTAGTTTAGGGTAGATTTTGTGTGAAACTTGTTCTCCCACTCACAAAACTTCTAATTTTTTTCAAATAAAATGCATGTCCAAACATAATTTCAACTTCCAAAAATTATTTTTCAAAACTACTTCAAAAATTATTTTTTCAAGTTTCAACTAAATATATGTCCAAACGCTAGCTAAATCACCAATTAATGCTTATCAAGAGATTTTTACTGTAATTATCTAATAGGTAACCTGATTGTGGAAATAATTTATAAAATTATTGGTCCATAGAACTTAAACTCAATTTAATATTGCACTATTTTTACAAGATCAAAATTATTTCCTGCCAAGTTGAATATACATGCAACATGCGCATGCACACAAAATACACACACACACAAAATCTACTGAAATTATGTTAACATCGTAAAATCAAAAAGGAAATTGAAGCATATAACACGAAAAGCAACAGCCGAATTACCTTGTAAGCAGTCACAGTTCTCAGCCTCCTTCCTCACAACATCGAGAACCGAGTCAATAAGCTCCGCTCCCTCAGTGTAGTGTCCTTTGGCCCAGTTGTTACCAGCACCGGACTGTCCAAAGACGAAGTTATCGGGCCGGAAAATCTGACCATAAGGCCCGGATCTGACACTATCCATGGTTCCTGGCTCCAAATCCATGAGGACGGCGCGTGGAACAAACCTTCCGCAACTCGCTTCGTTATAATACACATTTAAGCGCTCCAATTGAAGATCATTGTCGCCTTGATACCTTCCGGTGGAATCAATACCGTGCTCCGCACAGATAACTTCCCAGAACTTGGCTCCGATTTGGTTCCCACATTGACCTCCCTGAATGTGCAAAATCTCACGCATTTTGCTTCGTTTTCGCGAGAAATTGAGCAGATAATTGGGGATACTGTGGAAGTGAGAATTTGGGTTTGTGAAAATGGAAGAATGTGGAGTCGGGGTTTATATACTGAAGGGGTGGTGGAAAAACGGGGTTCGTTCGCCGTTATCACGGTGAAGGAGATTTTTAATTTTAGAGGGATTTTTGAATTTTGAAAAGTTCAGAAAATTGTGGAGAACAGTTGGGATATTGCAATCACGCTGATTTGACGTGTGTGAGATACACGCGCTCCTTCACATGGAAAAAGCGGAAGCTTCTAGTTGTGCGTGCACGTGAAGCGTCGGAAAGGTAGCAGCATGTGATTACTGGATATATCATGTGAATTGAATTGTGAAAAGCACTAAAATACATCTAAAAATATTTTAAGAAGAAACTACTTTTGGTTCAATAATTGGAAATACACAACCATATTGGATAGGAAGATTTCATCAATCAACTAATCAAATGAGCCAGTTTTACCTATAAGAGCATGTTTGGAAAGCCACCTAAAAATTGGATTGGATATAATAGGATGTAATTATACAATTCGGCATATTTGTTTGGCCAAGTAATTACTTGGTTAGCATGTAATTGTGTGTAATTGAAGAGGTGTAATAACACTTCCCAATACTAAAGGGAGATAACAATTAGTGATAATTACACTATGCAATGACAAAGATACTGTTTAATTTATTTCCTTTTTGTTTTAATTTTAATTTATTTTCTTTATAACTTTTTATTTCCATTATTTTAATCTCTTTTTATTTTATTTTCACTTTTTAATTTCTTTTTAAATTTTATAATATATTTGCTTTGTACAGTATACATCTTTTACTTCTCTACATTTACTTGTGATTCCATGTAATTGCTCGTCTATTTTATTTTCTCATTTAGCGTAACTGCGTTATTATTCTAGTTTTTTAAACTACACCTCCTAGTATTAGAAATAATAAATCATTAACAAATTTGACATATAATGAGTGGTGTCATTAAAGTAGAATTTCGTTATTGAATGAGGTTATAAACTTATTATATTTCCCAATCTCAAGTTGTACTAGTATTATTACCCGTGTGATGCGCAAAAAATATTAAATAATACTTCTGTATATTATATAATGAATTTATAATTGTATATTGATTTTTTTTTTGTGGTTAAAATTTTTTCATGAATAATTATAAAATTTATCAAGTAACTTTGTAGTATATTGACACCTACTATGTTGCTTGTAATTGTTTCAAATTCAAATTAGACTTTTCTTCTATGTTTAAATTCAAATTAAAAAATCGTAAAAAATTAGTAATAACACATAGTGCATAATTTATTTAATTTATAATTTAAATTAAAATAATTAATTATTACCTAACCTAACTAATTTTGTCCTAAAATTGTCAAGTGGCTTTTTATTATGTTGTCACTTGGCTTACTATGGTGTCTTTGCCCCTCCTGTTGTATATAGATACAACAACAACAACAACAAAAACAAACCTAGTAGTTTTTCACAAGTGGGGTCTGGGAAGGGTAATGTAACGACCTGACCGGTCGTTTTGAGCTCTAGCGCGTCGTTCGACAGTTTGAGGCCATGAGCAGCTTCACTTCACGTATTATAACTTGTACGCGTGGTCGAAATTTAATTTCGGGAAGCTCGGAGTTGATTTGGAAAGGAAATTCCCATTTTTGAAGCTTTAAGTTGAAAGAATTGAGTAAGGTTTGATTTATGAGTAAACGACCTCGGAATCGGGATTTGACGATTCCAATAGGTTCGTATGATGATTTCAGACTAGGGCGTATGTTCGGATTGGATTTTGGATGACCCTGGGGCGTTTCGGCGCCTAATAGTGGAAGTTAGCATTTTGGAAGGATGATGATAGGCTATAATTACGTATTTTAGTCGCTTATTACACTCAAATTTACTGCACTTTAATTGAGTTTGAGCTTTAATCGCTAGTGTCTTGCACTAATTGTGTGTTTTATGCCTTGTAGGGGTGATTCCGAGCTATGTATATGTTATGGAATGAATTCAAGTAATTTGGAGCTTTGAAGTCTGAGTAAAAGCCCAAGGAATTAAGCCGGGATCGTATTCGGGGATTAACGGATGATAGAGCAACAAAACGAAGAATCGAGTATGCATATTGCGCACTGTCTAGTAAAATACACATAACTTTTCGCTCAAAACTCTATTTGGGCTCCACAATATATGTTTGGAAAGATAACTCAAAGGGATACAACTTTCATATTTTACATTTTTAAAAATTCCAAACCGAACAAGGTGAAAAACACGGTCGAAACCGCGACCGCGGACCTGATGCGGACGTCCAGGCCTAGAAACTTGTCCTTTTTCGCGCAGGAGGAGGTATAATTGTTTGGGCCCGACCCTACTTGGTATATATACACGGGAAAACGGTATTTTGAGGGGAGGAGACCAATTTTTGACACAGATTCGACCTAAGGTTGGACACACTTTTGACATAATTTAGACCTAAGGAGGCTAAGGAGATCGGGGATTCGACCTAAGGAGTCAAGAACACATTGGGAGCAAGGCGGAGAATTCTTCAACGAGTTTTTCCTTCCTCTTCCTATTTTTCATTGTTGGTTATGATTTTTAGTATTGTAGTTTTACATACTATTATGAATAGCTAATTTGATGTCTAGGGTTTTGATGGAACCTTTTGTAGGATAAATTCTTTTTATGTTTTTATATAATTGAGCCGTTGGATTTCTCTACTTGTTCAACTATGTGTTTGTTGTTGTTGATTGAATGGCCATCAATTGACTGTGTCTATTTAGTGTGTACTGCTCGAGAGAGAGTACATATTTAGGTAGTTGTTGAACAACGTCACTCCTAACGTATGCGAGAAATCAATACATTGGGTTTCAAGGTAGGTTTAGAAACAACAAAGCCTTGACGTGGTCATAATGAGCGGTTAAATAAAGCCAACTAGCGTAGTTCGAGAGAATATGTCTAGTAAATTATCGTAGAGAATTAGTTGTTTGTGGGACCAATATAGATATAGGGCGTAACAGGTTCATTGAGAGGGAGCTCAACACACACCCTAGCATAACGACCCCTTAGGGTGGATGATGCACATGCATCAACTTTTAGAAGTCGACCGATTGTCCTACCTATCCTCTTTAGGACCTCGCCATTGTAGAATTCTGTAGGGAGTTGGGGAAGCCTTAACCAAACAACTGTATATTGTTCTTTAGTCTTTGTAGCAACAAAGTTTGGTTCCCATCTTTGGACAGACAAGAAGTGACCATTGATGAACCATGGTCCATGTTTAAGTGTTGTGATCATATTCTCCTCTTTTTGGATTTTGACTGTGTAGTAGTCATTACCAAGATCTATTAGAGTGAAATTTTCGGTAGGTTTCCATAGTCCTGTTATTTTTTGCTTCAGATAGTTGTGAAGGATACGACGTACTTGTAGTTTTATGATCACCGAGTATCTCCATGGTTAGTATATTCTGTGAAGATCTTCACTAGAAAGTTCAATGTGAAAGTTTAGCTGTGACTGTTTGTGGTCATTTGAAATTTTATCTGCTTCTGGTAGGAGTTCCTCAGCCGTTTGGTTTTCCAAATCAGTCTGTATGGAGATTTGGGAAGCTGTGTTGTTGGCCATTAATTTGTTACGTTTTTGCGGAAAAGGGTTCAAAATACCCCTAAACTATCGGAAAAGGTTTAAAAATATCCTTATCCACCTATGGGGCTAAAAATATCCCTCCATCCACCTTTTTGGTTCACTTACAGCTTGTTTGGATGGTTGTTACGTATCGTTTCATAATGTATCGTATCGTATTGTATTGTATTGTATTGTACTATATCGTTTGATGAATACAATGTTTGGATGGATTGTGTCGTTTTGGCGTCGTTTCATGGTATCACGCACCTGTGATATGATGAATAAACTTGCAATATTATAAAGAAAAATTATGATGAGGTATATAAAAAGGTAGGGTAAATGATAAAATAAAATTATTTAATAATAATGAAGGGTGAGATTGAGAGAAAAACACAAGGAAACGACGCGACTACACCAAATCGGTCGTCACATAAAGTGGCACATTTCATCGTTACGTAACGACGGATTTAACGATACGATACAATAAAATTTAAGTAAAACATTGTATTTTAAGTAATAATACAATACGATACGATAGGTAACAACCATCCAAATAAGCTATTATGCCCTTTGACCGTTAGGTCAATGCTGAATTAAAAATAATTATTATTTTTTTTGCAAAACTTAAAAAAAATATTTTACAAGATATTTTAGCTTTTTTAAACTAATGCACCAGTAGTCCCACTAATTTAGTAAAGTCTTCTTCTTCATTTTTTGTCAGTTTTTACAAAAAGATATTTTTTTTTCATTTTTTCAATTTTTTTTGTAAAAACTGAAAAAAAAAAATTGTAAAAACATAAAAAAAAATGTTTAATAAAATATTTTTCGTTTTTTAAAAATATTTTCGTTTTTGAAAAACATTTTTTTTTCATTTTTTCAGTTTTTTTAAAAAATCGAAATATTTTTTCTTTAAAAAAAAACTGAAAAACGAAAATAAAACGAAATGCTTTTAAAAAAATGAAAAAAAATACTTTCAAAAATGAAAATATTTTTAAGTTTTTAAAAAACGAAAATATTTTATTAAAAACATTTTTTCCAGTTTTTTGAAAAAAATGCTCTAAAAGACTGAAAAAAATAAAAAAAATATTTTTTTGTAAAAACTGAAAAAAATAAAATAAGAAGACTTTACTAAATTAGTGGACTACTGGTGAATTAGTTTTAAAAAACGAAAATATTTTGCAAAATATTTTTTTTTTAAGTTTTACAAAAAGAATAATAATTTTTTTTTAATTTAGCATTGACCTAATGGTCAAAGAGCATAAATGAACCAAAAAAGTGGATGGAGAGGTATTTTTAGCCCGATAAATGGATGAAGGGTATTTTCAAACCTTTTCCAATAGTTTAGGAGTATTTTAAACTCTTTTCCGTTGTTTTTGAAAGTAGTAGGCGTAGGATGTGAAGAGGCGAAGGCTATGTCAGGTGGCTTAG